CAGAAGAGTCACATTACCATACTTTTAATACATTGAAGGTACAATATAAAAAATCTCATTTTTAAAGGTACAAAGTGAGAAAGTTTAAATCTTTTGGGGTGCAATGTAAAATTCTCTCAAAAAATTATAACTTACCCTTAAAAATTTTAATTTTTGGTACAATACCGTCGTCAACACTGAAGTCTTCCTCAACAATTGGAGGTTAGATTAAGCATATTATCAGCCCTCCTATAATACCCTTGAAGTTGAGACCATATTAGTGACGTCGTTTTTACCTAATCCTTCGGTAACACTTCAACTTGTAACATCCAACTTTGTGCTCTACAAACGTGTAATTATTCTCAATTGGACTTTGAAGCCAATGGTCCAGTCCTCACAAGTTGCAATCCTTATCCCCACACCTGTATAAGATAATACTACGATAGAAAATTGAATATTACATGACACGTTTGATAGATATATTATGAGGAAATTAAATATTAAATTATATTATTTTTTTAATCGAGTCTAATATTTTATTTAATAAGTAAATTTGATATCGTATTAATTTTAAAAATATATATTTATTGTATATTTTTTATACGATAGACATATATTATGGAGATATTTTTCTAACTCAAAAGTATTANCAAAAATATATACTTATTGTGTATTTTTTATACGATAGACATATATTATGGAGATATTTTTCTAACTCAAAAGTATTATTCTACATATTTATTATTATAATCCTCCAACTAATAAAATCAAGTTGTTATTAATATAATAAACATTGATTGAGGATATTTTTATTAATTCAACATTAATACAATAAAATAATTATCTAACCAAACAATTGATTGGATTAAATAATTATTATTCAATGTTTATATTGTTAGAAATAATGATATATTTATTTTTAAAAAAATCATTAAGTATTTAATAAGAAATTGTTAAAATCTCAGTAACTTTTGGGAGCAATTGAAAATGTGTGAAGTGAATATAACATGAAAGACTATTNAAAAAAATCATTAAGAATTTAATAAGAAATTGTTAAAATCTTAGTAACTTTTGGGAGCAATTGAAAATGTGTGAAGTGAATATAACATGAAAGACTATTATTTCAAAATTGGTGACTTTTGGTTAAATACACAAATTCAAATAGTTACATCTTTTCATAAAATTATCATTTACTCCTTTTGATTAACATATACCATTATAAATAGTCATAACTTTTCATAAAATCATAATTGATATCTTTTAGACTAAAAGATAATATTTCAAATGATTGTATTTTTTTAAAAAAAATTACCATTAATACCCTTTGGACTAAAAGTTACCATTACATATGGTTACACCATTTATAAAGAGCCACTAGTGCGTTTATCAATAGGTGATTTATTGCACTCTCAAAACATATCATTGAACAATTCAAAAATTGTTATCTTATTCTAGTTCCCTCAGTTATCCAAAATTCTGAATTAAGTATTCAGTCTTTCTTCTCTCTCTCTTTGTCTACATATTGTTGCACTATTATTTCAAGTTCAATTCAACTATAAACACAGAATTGTGTTCGTTAAAGTCTTAGAGATTGAAGTGTTGCATCTTTAAGAACAAAAGATGTCCTATCTTNCATTGAACAATTCAAAAATTGTTATCTTATTCTAGTTCCCTCGGTTATCCAAAATTCTGAATTAAGTATTCAGTCTTTCTTCTCTCTCTCTGTCTACATATTGTTGCACTATTATTTCAAGTTCAATTCAACTATAAACACAGAATTGTGTTTGTTAAAGTCTTAGAGATTGAAGTGTTGCATCTTTAAGAACAAAAGATGTCCTATCTTGAGAGATACTTGATTATCAAGCTTAAGCATCGAGAGGAAGCAAATCTATCTAAAGAAAACTGTAACTACACAGAGTTTAGATTATTGTTTTTATTATTGAATTTTTGGATTTCTAGATTTTATTATTTGTGTTGTTTTGCGTCAATGTAAGTGCATTGATTTTGATTTTTATACATTCTATTTAAATTTGTGCATAAATTAGATTTTATACAGTTTAATATAGTCTAATTATATACACATTTTCTATAACAATGTTGTGTATTGTCAGATACTATATAAAATTATGTATTATTCTAATATCTTATTTAATATTGTCTTTTGTCAATTTGTATTTTATTAGATTGAATTACTTTTTTTAATTCATCTATTTTTAATACAACAACCAAATAAGTAACATGTATCCATAATACAATTATATTAATACTTTTTGAAAATCAAAATAAAATGTTGTTTCTAGCATCCCATTTTAACAATCTTCCAGTTTACTAATATATCGAAATTCAGACCAAGTCTTGAAATCACGATTTTTCTTTTTATTACTTGCAATGAATTTTAAATCTCTCGTCTTTTTTTACGATCACACGATCCTTCAATGTTCGTGCTCCATTTTTCTATTACCTAAAAATGCCTTCGAAAGAAGGCACTGTTGGTGAGAGATTGAAGTTATTCATGAATCAATGGAAGAAATAGGACATTGTGTATGAATCCTTACAAGTGTGCCAGTTAATGCAGGACAAGGTTTGGGCTCATGCCATTCGAGATGGCCTAGCCTAACATTCATTTGCAAATCCTTTAGTGAAATTGAGATGGGTCGATTTTATAAATTAATTAACGTATAGACACTATTGTTTATCGTACCGTTGATTATATCTGGTCGTTGAATTTACTTGAACTTTTTTTTTTCATATAGGCTCGTTCCCTCTTCTTCCAAGAATTTATGCATTGATCGAATATAAACAAAGATATAAATTCACGCATTTTGAGTGTGAATTTTAGTGATTTGTATGTGTTTTCCAAATGTTGTCTACATCATAATAACATGGCTCCAAGGAAGTTCCTTTGAAGAATTTTTTATTTTTTATTTTTAAATTTTTGATTCAAAATAAGATTTCCATTTTCGCATATGCTACTCCTATCTTCTAACTTGCACCTAAGTAGTTGAAGGGTCAAGTTGCATATTTCTTTCGAAGCTTTTTTTTGGTTTAATAATCAAGAGTATTTGAATAAATTTACGACAAATCATTTACGTCAAAACTAGAATATTTATGAGAGATAAATATTTTATGATTTAATTTTAGAGTTATAAAATTTAAACTTAAGACGTATAAATTTATAATTTATCTATGTTAAGTCGCATCATCGTTGCCTGAGAAGAAAATATTTCACTATCTTTCTCTTAACTCTTAGAAAAATTAAATTTTTGTTCATACGTCTCATTTGTAGATTTTTTTTTTTTTTTATGTAAAATGTTATGGTGTTTCATCCACCCATCAAGTGGAGGTGAGCACAGCCTGCCTCGCATCAAATGGTGGCTGTATAGATTCCTTACTAATTCTTCCAACATTGATGACAATGACACTTGTGGTGACTCATTGATTGACGGCAAATTTGGTAATTTTGTCTTTTTTTTAAGGTGAATTTTCTAAATTTGTCATTTTCCATTGAAAATCCCTAAAAACACATAAATCGAGAAAGATTGTTAAAATACAAGTCTAATTTACTCCACATTTACATCGACGATGAATTTTAAAATAATTTTAAAGTATAGTTCAATTAATAATAAAAATAAATTATAAATTCAGACGTTTTAAATTTGAATCTTGATGATTTTTTGAAATTAGATTATAAAAAATTTATTTCTTATAAATACCTTAATCTTATTGTAAATGATCTGTTTTTGATTAGATCTGAGAAAAAATTAATTGAAGTATGTGTAAATTGATCTGAACATTCCTAATTATTAAAAAAAAAAAGTAATTGAGTGGATGAAAAAAATCTCTAAATATTTACAACTATGATTTATTAAGGCAATCAAAAAATCTAGTGAATCTCAATAGAAGGGTATCACCCAAAAAAAAAAGAAAGAAAATATATAAAAATTGGCTAATTAAAAACCTAGATATCACTATCAGCACAACTAATGGTGCATTTTCGTCGTCATCATCAATAAAACCATCTAAATGCAAATGGTATTAATTCCACGTCAGTATTTTTCGGGAATTTTGACCCGCCTTAATCCTGGTCTTGACGCTCTCAAACTCTGAGATCCGACATGGTATGGTAATCCCACCCGGATGATCGAACCCATATTCCTCCTCAGCCTCCCTCAGCAAATCCCCAAACAATGGATGATTGAAGTATATCACAGGGACCATAATCCTCTCAAAGTCACCGTCTTTCTGTCCCACATACACCGCCATGTGACCCTTGGGAACGGGAACGTGTTTGTCTTCAACGGTGTCTTGCCCGATCTGCACGTAACCACGGCCCAAACCCGGAGAGGAACTCTTGGAGCATATGGCTTTGGCTTTGGTTCTTAACCGGTGAGCCCAGTTGAAGAGTTTGGAAATGGGTCGGATCTTGCGTATATGAAGTGAGTCCAACCGGCGGTACACCGACGGTGATCGGTTTCGCCGGAAGACGCACGGGAAAAGTGTGGTGACCCGATGTTTTAGCAAGAACCCTCGGATCTTTTTCATGGCTGAGGTTAATTAGAAGAATATGCAGAAGAATTGCTTTTAGAGAGAGAGAGTTTTGAAGAGCTTTGTTCTAAGAAAAAGGCCAAGGGTCAGCGACGTACATGGCCAAGCGAAAGAGAGTGAGACAGTTTTCAGAAAGAGAGGTGGGTATATTTGACATGCTGGGTTTTGCCGTTACAATATGAGATTTTCATTCGAAAAGTTTCCTATCTTCCACTTCGCAGCAGTCGAAACGCTTGAAGAGAGAGAGAGAGAGAGAGAGAGAGAGAGAGAGAAGCTTTAATGGCGGTGTAGCTGGTGGTGGGTGGTGAAGATGGGTAGGCTGAGAAACTAAGAAGATGGGTATGGTGGGGGTTATAAAGGAGGGAGGGTTATACAAGTCAAAGAGAGAGGAAGGTGAAGAGTAGGCGAGGGGCACTTGAAATGGTCGACACGCGATTTAATGGGAAGAAGAAAATATAGAATGAGAGAGAAAGCTACATTTCTATGCGTTCATATGGAGAGAGAGAGAGAGAGAGAGAGAGAGAGAGAGAGAGAGAGAGTACAACTAGGTTGTTGATAAGGTTGGAACGGCGAGATATTACAACAAAGCCATATAAGTACAAAGTACAAAGACAAATAATTGATCAAACCATCGGGTACACTTGCATTATTCTTTTGTTAAACTGGCAAATTCTATGGATCTAAAAGTTGCCAACTGGAGAGAATATACTCTCTCTCCTCCATCATCTCCCCCCCTCCCCCCACAAAAACAAAACGATCCAATGAATCTCTCTTGAATAATTCAATCAACTAGACGCAATATCACATATTGTTAAGCGACTTGGACTCCTTTTTTGTAACCCCCCAATTAACTTCTCTTTCATAAATTCCCAAATTCTCATTCGACCCACAAATCTCAATCTCCCAAACCTACGCTAGCTCAAGAGATGGAGGGCATTTTGTTATTCAATCATTGATCAAGAGTAGGGTTGATAGTCAAATAAGTTTGAGTCCAACCTAAAAAATTTATTATTTTAATTGATTCTTAAAAATTATTAAAGTTCGACTTGATTTTAAACAAGTCGAGCTTTAATGATCCGTAAACAAACTAAATCTAAACCAAACCCGAGTATTTGTATATGAACGAGTTAAGTTTGTTAAATTCAAGTCAAACTTATTGGGTTTATTTTTCAAACAAATCTAAAAAATTATTTAAATTTAACTTATTTAAAAAAAAATAGAACTCGAACCGAACTTGAACAACTTAATTTAATTAACAACCCTAATCAAGAGAGAGTAACCTAATAAAAAAAACCACACTCAAAGAGAGTATATTGTAAATTCAAAAACTATGGGGTTTGTTGTAATTTTTTGAAATATAGAGATATACTGTACGTCTTCCACTTTTATACTAAAGTTTGGTAGCGGAGATCATCCTATACACGTTTTGAGGTTTTGGAGAGTTGTCGTGCTGGATTTTGATTGGGCTTGAACATTAAGTAATACTACATAGATTTAAAAAATAGATTTAAAAATTAAATTTGATAATTTTAACTATTATTTTCACTATAAATTTTAATATTTATTAAGATTCATTACTTATTCAATGATCAAAATTTTTAACTTGCTTTATACAAAATGGTAATTTGTTTGTTCAAATTTGGAGGGTACAGCTGAACAATTTCAATCACACGGTGTTTCCATTTACAAGTAGGCTTTGAACGTGCCACGTATTTGGCACATTTATACATATGCGTTTGTACATTAAATGGCATTGACCAGGTCTTGGGTTGTTAGAGGAAGACTCCTCTTTTTTTTTTGGGGGGGGGTGGAGGGGGGGGCCGGGCGAAGGAGAAGGGGACCAGAATACCAATATTTATAGTAATTTTTTTTGAGATTAAATTATACTTTTTTGGGTCCTGGTATTTAATGTGCTTGCTTTGGTAGGTATGACGACTCTGTTGTTGTCATTATGTTTATCGATGAATGGAATTTTTGATTTAAATTTAATTAATTAAATATTAATTAATATTTTGTATTAATAATTTAAATTTGAATTCGATATCTTAGGTTTCAGAATTAAGAAATAAAGTGATTATTTATGTTTTTTATGTGTGATTCTAATCCACGAGCGGTTGACATCAAATCAAAATATATATATGTATGTGAAAATTGAGTAATTATTAAATAAATTTGATAAAAAAATTCAAATTTAACAAAAAATTCAATGCTAAAATTTATCAAATTTGATGAAAACTTCAATGTCGAAATATCATCAGTGTAATTTGATAAAAACAAGCTAGATTGAGTTATATTAATCGAATTGGTTTTTCAAATAAATTTTTTATTGTTTCTAGTGGATATAAATAAAGAGTATGAAAATAAATTACATCAACGTCAAACTCAGATCACACTAGGCCATGCAAAAGGACTCATTTCCCTTGAATCACCAGTTCTTTTGGGTGAACTTTGTTATGGAAAATATGGATATGATTAGATTATATTAAATTGTATAAAATTTAATTTATGCACTAATTTAAATAAAATGTGTAGAAATCAAAATCAATACAGTCACATGGATGCAAATTAGCACGAACAATAAATAAGAAAAATCACAATTTTAATCCAAGTATTGTGAAACACAATCTTCTTAATACAGATTTGTTCCCTCTCCGTCCTTAAGGTCAATGAGTAACTGTCTCCCAAGATTGAATAAATTTTATCTTTTTGAACAAGCAGTATTTCAATCTTTAAAGATTCTATCAAACACAACTTGTGTTTATACTTAAATCGAACCAAAATAATAGTGTAACAATATGCACGTAGAGAGAAAAAATTTAAAAACTGGAATTCAGAATGGAATGTATTGAAATGACAAAAGGATAGTCTATTTATAAATCTTTGGTGGCTGTTTAGATTGCCTAAAAAAGGTATGGGTTGTCACTGTTCAAATTAAAAAGACATTCTTTAATCTGAACAGGCAAGAGACACATCTTGGAATGAACCTAGAACTCTTTTGGAGCGAAGTTCAAAGAAAATAACGAGAAGAAATTTAAAATTCGATTTAAATTTAAATTTCGGTTGGAATTTTAATTCTCGTTTGGATTCAATTGATTTGACCCATGACCCGCATCGCTCTAAATAAATTTTGTTTAAAAAAATTATATCTTTTTGACAAAAACCCAAGCCAAGCCCAGTTGTGGCGAGCGAGGATAATGTGCGCGTGTGTGTAATAACCAAAGTAGTATAGACGCTCGTTCTACTTACATAAGTGTAGTACTCCTTGAGGCCCAACTCATGACATCAACTAAAAGTATATTAACTCACCAAAATGTTGGTATTCTTCCGATGTAGAACAAATCTTATTTTACTACACCAATTTTAGTTTATTTCATCACTTCAAATATGTTACTTTGAGATATAATTTTTCATTCAAATCTTAATAATTGTAGACAAATAAATATACCATGTTAATCTTCTTACGGTAGATAACTCGTTTAACCTTAATCCCACTAATTTTGAGGTGTGGGTTCTATTTTTATTTAAGTCTCAAATTGCTCAAAATAAATTTATTTAAAACTATTTTTTTTTTCTAACAAAACTTTCATCCTAGAATAATTTACATGACTCAAAACTTGAACTTTAACTTAATTCTCGCAATAAATTTAGGCTTGATTCGAAACTTAACCTGAACCTAGGCTAGGACCCAAATTAGTCTTAAACCGAAAGTTGAACCTACTCTCTTTAATTAAGACAAAGACTTAAAATCTTACTCAAATGCAGACGTAACCCAGGATCTCAGACTCAAAATTTTATCGCAACTGAGGTAAGGTGGAGATGACGATCGAGGTAAAGACGAGGTAGTGGTTGTGGTGATGGTGGATACGATTGGTGATAATTAACAATGGATAATTCAACCTAATATTAATGAAAAATTAATCATATATTGGGGATTAGATTTTTCATGAAAATAAAAATAAATTTTTATTCTTACAGACTAGATATTAAAAAAATTCGTACAATTCGANAACTCATGACATCAACTAAAAGTATATTAACTCACCAAAGTGTTGGTATTCTTCCGATGTAGAACAAATCTTATTTTACTACACCAATTTTAGTTTATTTCATCACTTCAAATATGTTACTTTGAGATATAATTTTTCATTCAAATCTTAATAATTGTAGACAAATAAATATACCATGTTAATCTTCTTACGATAGATAACTCGTTTAACCTTAATCCCACTAATTTTGAGGTGTGGGTTCAATTTTTATTTAAGTCTCAAATTGCTCAAAATAAATTTATTTAAAACTATTTTTTTTTTCTAACAAAACTTTCATCCTAGAATAATTTACATGACTCAAAACTTGAACTTTAACTTAATTCTCGCAATAAATTTAGGCTTGATTCGAAACTTAACCTGAACCTAGGCTAGGACCCAAATTAGTCTTAAACCGAAAGTTGAACCTACTCTCTTTAATTAAGACAAAGACTTAAAATCTTACTCAAATGCAGACGTAACCCAGGATCTCAGACTCAAAATTTTATCGCAACTGAGGTAAGGTGGAGATGACGATCGAGGTAAAGACGAGGTAGTGGTTGTGGTGATGGTGGATACGATTGGTGATAATTAACAATGGATAATTCAACCTAATATTAATGAAAAATTAATCATATATTGGGGATTAGATTTTTCATGAAAATAAAAATAAATTTTTATTCTTACAGACTAGATATTAAAAAAATTCGTACAATTCGATTTGTACGTGTCGGTCAAGACCGAACAGGTGGGCCCACCTGGGCCAGGCATGCAATCAACGACACGTAGTGCGTGCATCAGTTCAAAATGGGTGGGCCCACCGGTTTGGAAGATGAGTTTTGCTACGTAGGAATTACAAACTAATTTATACGAAACATATCTAGTTGACTTTTAAGTTTGTGGGCTTCTTTTTTTTTTTTTGGACAGTTCATCTTACTTGTGATTAATCTTATGAAAGCGGACTCCCTTTTTTAAATAGTAGTTTTTTCTCTGCTTTATTTGATCTAATAGTATTTTTCTCTCTTCTTCATATGATCTTCTCTGCCTTTTTGTTTCTTAAAAAAAGATTTTGGTCTGATTCCAGGTTGTCTGTATCTTATATTATTAATTTTTTGGGATTAGACAATATTATAAATTAGGTTTTAAATTTCGTTTCCTCAATCTTAATGCTTTGACATTTTTTCAGATAAAATCATTGTATGATAAAATTGATGTCTAATATTACGTATTTTTAAAATTTAACAATCAGACTCGTCAAACTATTTTTTTATACCTTGAAGTGTCTTAAACTATAATTTCCACGTCATTTGGTACATATTTTTTGGCAACCTTTTGGGCAGCATAGATTTAGCCTCCTTGGNCTTCTTCATATGATCTTCTCTGCCTTTTTGTTTCTTAAAAAAAGATTTTGGTCTGATTCTAGGTTGTCTGTATCTTATATTATTAATTTTTTGGGATTAGACAATATTATAAATTAGGTTTTAAATTTCGTTTCCT